GTCATGTTCATTGACAATCACATTAGGCTTTTTTGCAGTTTCATCCAAATAAGGCTAATCATTCAGCATGACTAATTTATATAGCTATGAGGGTGGGTTATCAGTACAGATGTACCGAAGCATAAAAGACTTGGGAACACTGACCTAGCTGTCAAATTTAATCAAGCCCAATGAAATTCAATTTGTTAATCTTGCTTGACAATCCTACTCTCATGCAGTTTAAACACTAATACATTTTGTATTGCACTGAGATGCTGGTCTACAGCAAGACTTTTTATTTGGACTAACCAGAAACATGCATTAGCTCTGTTAAAATTTAGACTCAGGGACAAGACTTAAAGTCAGAAGGCTAAAATTGGAATTGTAAATCCTTAAATATTTGTAATATGTATTTTCTTGCCTAGTTCTTACCTTTAATATGTATTTTCTTACCTAGTTCTTACCTTAAAGAACAGAAGCATGAGACCACAAGCTAATATAAGAAACTATGGAGAGAGAGAATTCCAGCCCTTCAGAGGTTGTTTTTGCTTGTGTATACATACATATCTACTCAGACTTCACCAGCTAACCAAAGCAGAGGTTATATACCTCAAGACATTTCAGTTCTCTATAATAGTGATTAGATTAATGCTCATTTTACACCCTAGAGCAAAGGTTTCTGAGTTCAAGAGAAGAGCATAGCTCTTCCTAGTACCTACTCAGACCTCATTCAAAAGGTAATATCTTTTCCATTAGCTACAAAAATTTCCAACAGCCGCAAAGGTTTGGCTTAGCGCTGTATATCTAGGTACCATAGATATCTCTAGAGTGAACTGAAATAGCACAAGCTCTGAACAGCTGATTTATTCTGTTTCCAGTCTACTCTAAGAGCAGCAAAGATAACTTCCCCAATATTTCACAGTGTGGTATACCTAAATCTGCAGTTAGTAAACTTTCAGTCTTGCTTTACAAGCAAGAAGTTTCGTACTTCATTTCTTCTCTCTCCCTATGGGATAACAAAACATTCTATTTTCCAGTCTCTCCCCAAATTGTGTAAAGCCTACCGGATTGAATTAGAGAGAGTCAAACTTGGATAATTACTGTGTTCCTCAATTTGAGGCAGATTGGGATAATAACCAGTATCCAAATATAGCCTCTAGCAGATATATTTTGTCTCTCAATCATACCAGAATAGGCAAGAGGGAGTTCTGGAACACATGAAGCATTAGTTAGAAGAGAATGACCAGAATAGACTTAGTCATCCTGCCTTAAGATGTCTTTTCTATTTCAAGGAATAGAAAACAAATGATTAAACACAGAGTAAACAATTTTCCCACCCAGTTGAACTTTTCCTTTATTTTGTAACTAGAAACAAGTGAAAGAATAAGGTAATATTATATATAATATATATCTGTATCAGTAAAAATATATATAAATTTCTAAAATCATATAGAAACTATCCAGTTAACATTGATGAGACCTGACAGACTGCATTATCTGGAAAATATCTTGTTTTTTTCCCCCTTAGATACATTTATATAGGTCTATTTTCCAGATTATACTCAACATCAGTGTACGTTACACTAAAGACATAAGCAGCGTGAAGTCAAAGTCAGCTCCCTTCAAGAGGTTGCCAATTTTCTTAAGACCTATTCATGCACCATGGAAACACTCCATATACCCACTAACGTGCTTGAACCTTTTTGTTTGCTCTAGAGCTTAGACATCAATACAGCTACAAAACAATCATGAACTAGATGTGCAATCTGCTGATTGACGCAGAAGATTTCTAACATCACTTGGTTTGTTTCTCTGTATCACTGTCTCCACAACTGCCACAACTAAGTGGGGAGGTGAGGAAAGCCATGTTGTTTGGCAGCCTGAAACAATTTAATTCTATTTCTTATTGATCAAGATGAAATCCTAAAAAGTTATGAGCACAAACAGTCTGAAAAAGGAGGGGGAAGGGTGTTTAAGCCTGCTTGCCTACCTCAATTTTTCTAGCATCAAACTAGAAGAAGCGTGTGTTTTTTCTTAGTCAGTCATACATTTCCATTTAACCAGTTGTATCACAGAATCGCCAAGGTTGGAAGGGACCTCTGGAGATCACCTAGTCCAACCTCCCTGCTCAAGCAGGGGGAGCCTCTAGAGCATATTTCCCAGGATCACATCCAGACGGGTTGTGAATATCTCCAGCAAAGGAGACTCCACCACCTCTCTGGGCAACCTGTGCTCCGTCACCCTCACGGTAAATTTTTTCCTCATATTCAGATGGAACTTCCTGTGTCTCGGTTTGTGCATGTTGCCTCTTGTCCTGTCACTGGGCGCCACAGAGAAGAGTCTGGCCTCATCCTCTTGACAACCCTCCCTCCCCCCCTTCAGATATTTGTATACATTAGTGAGATCCCACCTCAGTCTTCTCTTCTCCAGGCTCAACAGGCCCAGCTCTCGCAGCCTTTGTTCATAGGAGAGAG